GCCTTAATCCCGGTGAAGACTGCAGGATGTGTTGGGGGTAGTTTTCTGGGGGGTGTGTAGGGAGGGTGGTCTGGAGCCACAGCTGATAACTGGAGAGTTCAATGGGACTTTAAAAGCCGAGGCAACACCCAGCAATTACTTGAGGACAAAGGGTTGGGGGGCCCCCCAGGTGTGGAGGACTGGACTTTTGGGGGGGCGCTGAGGAGGCCGGGAAGGAGGTGTGTTGGGGAGGGGGAGCTCTTACAATCCCTCTGACTTCCGCAGGAATTTGAGACATTCTTTAAAACTCTAGACTGCCTCCCCCCAGCCGGGCTCTCTGACCCACCCCCACCCCTCCCTCTCTCGGGTTAGAGAGCTTCAAAGGTGGACCGGGCCCTTTGTCCTGCCTCTGCTTTCTTCCCTGCCTCTCTCAGGTCCCTCCCTCCCTCTCTGTGACCTCCCCAGCACAGACAAGCCTCTGGGGGCCGGCTCCAGAAAGCCCTCACTGTTTCCTTTCTTGCTTTTTGAGGTGAGACATGGCAGGGAGGGACAGAGAATGGGGAAGGGTAACAGAGGAAGGCAGCTTTGGAGGCCTGTGCCATCTCAGAGAATGCCCTCACCTCCAGTTTATGGAGTGTCTGATGCTTGCATTTGGGCTTGGGCCCCTGGCTCCATTGTCTGTCCTTCTTCCTCACCACACCTTTTAGTGCCTCTCTGTTCAGCGCCCAGGCCCATACCCTGGGCATTCTTCATACCTCGGGGAAGTCTGTTCAGCTTTTTAACTCTAAACTGGTGGTAGATAACTTAGAAGAAGCTAAAAGGAAGACACTAAAGGTGTTCCTCCAATAACAGAACTTCAGAGGGGATTAATGTATATATATATGTGGTGGGAAGGAGGCTTCCCCAGGTACCTGAGACAGCACCACAACAGGACACCTGCTCTGCCCATATGATTAAGCAAGTGTGAGGATGGAAGTGACAGGGAGCTGAGGGCAAAATGGACTCATCTCAGGAAGGATGTTCCAAGGTAGAGGAAGGAAGCAGGAGGATGCCTCAAGTCCTTGCCATGTAAGATCACCAAGAACTCCAGCTAAGAATAGCATTCATATTGATCTCTCCCTTCTCCAGAAGGCCATATGAGGCAGAAGGGAGCCAAAGCAGGAAGTCAGAAGGGGAAATCCACTCACTTTTTAGTCCACAAAATCTGGCTTCTACTTATCTCATCCTATTCAGCCTTGCCCCTCTGACACCAATGGCCTGTGACTTTCAGTCACCAAGCCAAAAAACCTCACCTCAATCCTCAGCCTCACAGCTCTGACACTGCAGACCACCCCTTCGTGAAAGGCCTTCTTCCTCAGCATGCAGGAGGCTGGCCTTTCCTTGTCCTCTCACCTCTCTGACCTTTCTCTTCCCTGGCTTCTCTTCAATCTTAGCATTCCCTAAGGTTTCTTCCATTCTATTCCCTTCTTGTTCTTCATGCTGTCTCTCTGAGTAATCTCAGCATCTCAACTATCACCTCCTGGCATGTGACTGCTTTCACTCCCAAACTCCGAAACTGCACCATTGCCAGACCTCTTCCTGATCAGTCTAAATTACACGAATAGCTTCTGAATAGTCTGTCTGCCTCCTGATACCCCTGTACTCCAATACATTGCACATTTTGCTCATCTTACCTCACCCTACTGTAAAGCACAGCCCTGACCATGTCATGCTATCAGCAACAAACACTTCAGTATAGTTTTAAGACTATGGTACAATCCTGGCCAGGCTTCTTTTCCAGCTCCATCCCTACAAAAGCTCTTCAAGGACTCTGGTAAAACTGGAATCCTTACCACCCAACAAACACACTCTTCTCTTCTTTGTTCACGAAGTCTATGCTTGTCTTGAGTATTTGCACGTCCACACTCTCTCCATCCTCTGTTCTGTAGAGTTTCTCACTCTCCCAGAGGTAAGTGACAATCCCAACTACTGCTGATCTCAGGCTGTCCTTTCCTTGTCTTTGCTTTATGTCACACATCAGTTTGTCCCAAATTGCAGTTATTTATGTTCATGCCATAGTTCTATTAGGTTCCCAGCAGTATAAATAGTCAGTCTGGATATCATGCATAATACCCAGAGTAAATATTTAGTGAGGGAATAAACCAAGGAAGCACCAGAAAGAAATCATTGGTCTAGCACCCTACACCCTCAAGTGGAGCTAAGATGAGAAGTTAGAATTCTTCCTTTACCCTCCATCCTTAAACCAAAACCAAACCCACTGCCATCGAGTCAATTCCAACTCAAAGCAACCCCCATTGGGTTTCTGAGGTGGTAAAGCTTTACAGAAGTAGATTCCTCAGTCTTGCTTCTGCAGAGTGGCTGGTAGGTTTGAACCACCAATCTTCTGTTTAGCACTCAGATGCCTTAGGCACTATGCTACCAGAGCTCCTCAGTGTCAGGAAATATCAGGGGCAATGGCCATGGACTTGGGCAAGAAGCAGTTAATCCAAATATTTATTTCCTATATGGTTCAGGCACCAAGCTAACCCTTCAGTTAATTAAAAAGATGGACAAGATATTGTGTCATTCCCCTGTTGAGCTCTCAAGCCACTTGAAATTTAATTGCAAGGATAAGCCCATAAAAAGGTACATTTCCAAAAGACTGAAAGAAGAACTAAAAGTGATTAGAAATAAGAACATTAATATGTACTGAGCTTTGAAGATATGCCAGGCATCACACTCAGTATGCTTACAGTTAGCACTTTAGTGAGGGAGGTACCATTAGAACCAGGTCATGTGTGGGAAAGCTCAAGCTTAGAGAGGTTAAACAGCCCATGGTCACCAGCCAGTGAACACTATAGTCTAATTCTCACTCATTCTGCCCTCCCTTGTGAGGCACAGTGGGTCCTGGGGTAGGAGAGACCACCGGGGACTGGGTTTGGAAAAGGCTCAGTGGAAGTGGTGAAGTTTGCATGGTCTTTAAAAGTGAACAGTATTTCCATTGGCAGAGAAGACACATAAGGGGAAAATATTGAGGGGTAAGAAAAAAGGCTGAGAGGCAGAAATATATGAAGGGTGTTCAGGAGGAGGTTTAAAAAAAAAAAACACCTCACTGCTGTGGAGTCATAGCAACTCCTCCTTGGGTTTCTGAGGCAGTATCTCTACAGAAGTAGATTGCCCAGTCTTCCTTCCGAGGAGTGGCTGGTGGGTTTGAACTGCCAGCATTCTGGTTAGCAGTCAAATGGCTTAGGCACTACACCACCAGAGCTCCCAGAAGAAAGTAAGCAGTGATTAATTTGTCTAGGGCTGAACATCTACATAGAGAAGTGGTAGGTTATGACTGAATTCAGGAGAGTTTGGTCTTTATGCAGTGAGGAACTAGCAAAGTATTTGAGATGTAATCCCAGATTTAGTAGGGGAGAGGCTGGTCTGGTGGCAGCCCTGGTGGCTGAGGTGGAGGGGACAGAGGCTCTGGGATCTGGCAGACAGAGATCCGAATGCTCAGAGGTGAGGGAAGTGGCTTCTCCATCTCAAATGAGAAATCTTAGTCTTCTCCTGTTGCCTTTCTCTTCTCCTTCAGTGCCCAGGTGCCATAGCTCGGCCTCTCCAGTGGTTAATATTTAGACAGCAGAGGGGGCGTGCCTCTGGTGCACCCCATCCCTAGCATGTTGGTCACAGGGCAGGGCAGAGGGGCACTGGAGTGAGACGAATGAACATGATCCTAGAAGCCTATTGCACAGTCCCAGGGGAGGGGGCAGGCAGCAAAGCCAGAGTCCAGCTGGATATTTGGCACAAGTGACCTTGCTGGAGAAAGCCAAGAAATAGGTGTCTAGGGGCCTGGGACCACCTGCCTGCCAGGGGCAGGAGCCCCCACCCTGGGATTTGGACACAAGTGTCCATCCTCAAGGCCTCAAGAGACTCCTGAGTCTAAAGGTAGGCTAGTTCTATTCACAGTCTCCTACATGCTGGGTATGGCCCAGAGCCACCTACAAGGAAACCTGCCTGGGGCCTGAACCAAGAGACACCAAGTATTCAGTGTTGCCTGCTTCTGGGGAGAATTCTGGGGAGAATTTGCCTCTCATCCCAGCCTAACCTGGACAGGCTAGCCACTGGGAAGGATCATTCAGCTGGCGTAGAGAAGTCGGGAGATCTGCCCAGGAGTAGGAGGACTGAAGACAGAACTACTCTCCTGTAGGATGAGGTCAGAGGTGAAGTGGAGGTGGAAGCGTGGCATGGGAGAGAAAGGTCTCCTGACCAGTTGACCCCACTGCCTACCAACACGCACACACATGCACACGCACATGTGCACTGCCTACCAACACGCACGCACATGCACACGCACATGTGCACTGCACACACGCACACACACACACACACACACACACACGTGCCTAGTCCATCCCCCTCAGCAGGAATGACCTTGGCAGCTACCACTCCTCATGTCGACAGAGGGAGCCCTAACTCTGCAGTCCCCTTGGTTCCAAGGTGGCTCGATCTGTCAGAGGGAGATTCCTAAGGGCTGTAGGGCTTAGGTGTGGAAGGTGGTGGGACTGGAGCCTTGTAGGATTGGAAGAGAGCTATAGCTTTGACTTTTCTCTAGGTCGAGGAGAATGAGAGAGGGTTTGGGATTGGGAGGAGGCGCTCAGATAGGAATAGCAAGTCAGGTAGGCGGCAGACTTCTGGGTCTACAGCCCCATGCCCACCCAAGCCAGTGCCCAGTAGCCTCCCTTTCCTGCAGGAAGCCACCCCGCTGGCCCTTCAGCAAACACCTCATTTCTCCCAGATTATCTCCATCGCCCTTTCTCAGCTCCACCTTGGGCTTTCTGGAATGGGGGAGCTTCACTAATACTGCCTCCCCCTGCTGTCTAGCCCTGAATTAAGGTTCTCCTGAGGCCACTACAGCAGCCAATCCTAGAGCCTTGAGGAGGCAGAAAAGGGGGAAGGGAGACTTGGTGGGGGCTCAGTGCAGCTCTAGCTCCTGAGCTTTCCCCCAAGCCCCCAGCCCCAGCACTAAGAAGCTAAGCCTGAGCCCCCTCCTTCCATCACTGAGGAAGAGGCAGTAGGAGTCACTGCTTTCCTCCTCCTCTCCCCTCCCTGCCGCCGCCCGCCGCAAAGCCAGGCCTGGGCTGCCGGTAGGTTGTCTTGGCAACGGGAGGCGGAGAGGAGATGCGCCGAGGGATGGAGGTGTATGTCACCGAGGAAGCTGCAGAGCTCCTGCCCCACGCCCCAGGTCCTTGAAGGTACCGGAATCCTCCCCCCCCGCCTTTTCCCCTTGGTCCCCCTACTCCATCCCACATGCTAATTTCCATCAGGAGGATGCTCCCCTCCTCCTGCCGATTTCTTATTGCCCATCTCACTCCAGGCCCCTGTTCACAGCTGTCCTTTCCAGCATCAGCCCATTCCATCCCCACCTCTGGGGACCCCTGCACCAGAAGACCAATCTGTGGGGGTGGGATCTGGGGGTGGAGGGTGAGAAACAGGAGGAACCGAGGTATCGGCAGCCTCAACAGCAGAGGTATCAATCACCTGGTCCCTGGTCTCATGGAGGGATGAAGGGAGGGAAATTGCTCAGGACTGGGATGGGGCTGGGCTGATCTCTCTTTCAGGCAGGCCCCTGATTAGAGGGCAGTAAGGGTGGGGTGGAAGGGTCAGATAGCAGTGAGGCTGAGCTGAGGCTGGGGTTAGTGATTGAGAAATGGGGGCCTGGTTAGCTCCTCCTCCAAGACTAGTGCCTTGCTCCTGCTACCTCAAAAGTATACCCCCTCCCACATTGCCCTCCTGGCCCTTTCTTTTGTGGTTAGATTGATTTAGATCTGATATTTCTTCTCCAATCCCCAGGTTTTTCTGTACCTTTCCACGGTGTCCTGCTTCCCGCCCCTCCCCCCCCCCAATGAGAGCTAAGCCTAGACTCTATTTGCTGGTTCCCAGCCACTTAGCTACCTGACTGCCTTTTGGAGCCCACCCTGCAGGATTACATTCTCTGCCTTCCACTACCCCAGATACATCCTTCCCTTCCTGTCCCTTCCTGTCCTCTTCTCTCTGAGAAAGAGATCCTTGGGCACATTCTCTCCTGCCCCCCCTCAAGACCTCCCCTGTGATTTTCCGTTCACATACCCCATAGTCCCTTCCCCAGATTCTAGATTTCCGGAACAACAGCTGATACCATCAGCTGACCAGCTTTGAGCAGTGGTTACCAGGGCAACAGCAAGGGCTGCCTAGGTAGGCAAGTCTGCTTGTGGAGGTGGAGAGAAAGCTGGGCCCAGGGCAGGGGGTCAGCCGGCTGGGTGCACTTCCCTCCATCCCCCAGGTGGGGCACGAGTGAAACCCCAGGCTCTGCTCTGAACACACAGGGAACCAAATGGCCAGTGAATGACAGGGCCCCAGGGTGGATGATGTTTTCCATACACAGGGAAGACACATCTCTGTACTTTCTGTTCTGGAATGTGGGGATCACCTGGCAGAACGGTCCCTTTTTATGAAGTCGCCCTGGTGAGAACTGGGGTCCTTCTCACTCACACTGCTCTGCTCTGTTAGTTTCCAGGCAGTTCAGGTTACCAAATGGGCCAGAGGGAGTGTCCTAAACTAAGGACCTGGTTTCCCTCATCCTCTCATTTGTCCCTCCCCAGGAGAGGGTTAATCTTTGACTGGCCAATTCCGGCACCTCTGCCCTCACCCCCAACTATATGCCCTTTAGCACCCCAGGAGTAGCTAGGACCCCAGAAACCTCTGTTGCTGCTGTTAGGTGATGTGGATGGCCATGAAATGGGGTAGGAATTACAGGTGTTTGGAGAAACCAAGCACCCCATCCTCAGTTATCCATAGATAACCCCACCACCACCAAATTTGAACTCTGGCTGTTTATGAGGAGGCTTGAGGTGCTGTATATGTGTGCCCTAGAGTGACTGTTGCAGGGTGGGGTATGGGAAAGGAAAAAATGACAACGCAGACGATTCTGCTTCGTCATGATGTCGGGTTAATGCTCCTCTTGTTTGAAATGGATTGAGCTGCAGCAGAGCTGAGGTACACGAGCAACACAGACAAACACACACACACCCTGCTCTCGGCCACGCTATCAGCTGGATGTGGGGAGGGCGCGGGGAGGGCGTGTGGGGGGAGCCAGGGCCCGCCCGCCACAGTCCTGCCTGCCTGCCTGCCTGCCTGCCCGCCTACCAGACGCGGACTCCCCAGCACCAGGGGATCCAGGCGGCTGTGGCTTGTGCAGAAACTGGGAGGGGGGGAGGGGGGTGGGGGCCCAGCAGGGAGATCAGGCTGCTCAGCTGAGACCAGCTCCTCTCCTTCGCCAGCTCCCACCCCACCCACCCCAAGCCGGCTTTTTTGCCTGTTATTTGTGCTGTGGGAGAGCACTGCTGGGTTCCTGGAAGATACGCCTATTACCTAGGCTCTTGAGGAAAAAAAAAAGCCGCAGCCCTCGGAGGTGGGAGTAGGCCTCGCCCTACCCCGGCTACTACAGCCTGGGGACCTCAGAGCATCTGGGCCACCCTGTCTGGGAAGAGGTAGGTAGCAGGGTTTCCCACCTCTCCTCCCCTCTGTGGACGCTTTGGGCCACAGCACCTGCCTGCGTGAGGCTTTGGGTGGTGGCAGGATCCCCTAGGGAGGGAGGTCAGCTGTGGCCCCTCATTTAATGGGAGAATAGGCTGGGTCACTAGACCCTGGGACTAGCTGGCCTTGTTCTGACCAATCCTCTTTCTGATGTGAGGAGGAGGAGATGTTGGAGCCTGTGAGCCACCCCAGTGCCCTCTTCGCTGGCTAGTCTCCCTGCCCACTTAGTGGTGTGCTGGCCAGAAATGGAAGTGATAGCATCCTATAGGGGTGCTGGCTGAGCTGGGAGAGCTATTCCCTCTTGCTGAATAATGGGAAGATGAAGCCGTTGCATGCCTTCCATCTACCACTCCACAGATACCCCTGAGGGTTGGAATAGTTCACTGAGAGGGCGAATATAGTTGATTTGGAGCCTGCTTCTTAGGGGGAGGGATCTGAGGAGCCCCCCTCTAGCTGGTAGCTAGCCAAGCTGGTCTGAGGGTCAAATGAAGAAACAGGCTCTGTGGCAGGGTGGGGCGGCAGGCCCTAACCCCAGAGCTCATTAGTGCTACCTGCTGAAGAGCTGGAAGTGGTGGGCCCAGCAGACCTGAAGGTTTCCAAAGGTCCTGGGAGCCCCCTCCCTAGTTCGGCTCCTCCCTTGGCCTGGGAGGCCAAGTGCCTTTCCTGCAGACTCATCTGGCATTTCCTTCCCAGGGGACTGTGTTGCCAGGGTATATGAGTCAGGGGAGCAGCAGCAGGTCTAGGAGAAGGAAGGCAGGGGAGCTACTGGGAATGGGGACATGGGGGAGTCCCCAGGGGATGGGGAAATGAAGGGGTTCTGTATATGCTGCTGTACATGTGCACAAGTCGAGGAGGGGGCTCAGCACATGGTACGAGTGGCTGTGGGTTTAGAGAGTGGTGCCGAAGGGAGGATTGGTGGGTGGGTGTGAGTGGGTGTTAGCAAGCCCCATGTGCCATTGTGTATGGGCCTAGCTGGGAGAATGAGGGCGTGATCTTGCAAGCAGGGCTACAGAATCTCCCTGTGTGTACCTGTGTGCTTGAGTGTTGCAATGTGGGGCTTTCATTGTTTCAGTGTGGGGCTTTCTTCCTGTGTGAGTGAAGAGCCTGTGTGTCCACATGGGAGTCTTCTCAGTGTGGGACCTCTCTTGGGCATGTGTCCAATACCTGGGTCAACTGGTCCACCTGTAGATGGATGTCTGTGGGGATTTCTCTCTCAGAGTTCATGTGTGTGTGTGTATGCAAGATCAGAAGAGTAGTGCTGCCAGAAGCTGAATGTAAGAATGCAAAGTACAAGACCCTTCCTTCTCCCCCAGCACTAAAGATCCAGTCTGTACAAGTAACACTGCATCCCACCAACAGGACTAGGTTTAAATAAGAAGGTGCTAATGACTGAGCAGGAGCTCTGGTAGTGTTGTGCCTAAGGCACTTGCTTGCTAACCAGAAGGCTGGTGGTTCAAACTCACCAGTCACTCCTCAGAAGGAAGGTTGGGCAATCTACTTCCTTAGTGATACTGCCTCGGAAACCCAAGGAGGGGTCCCTATGAGTCGGGGCCCACTTGACGGGCATATAACAACAACAACAATGACGATAACCGAGCAAGCTGGGACTCAGAAACCTAGGAAGAGGGGAACTCTTCTAAGAACAGTGGCAAGAGAGGGTATGGAAACCCAAGCAAGAGAGAGACCTAAAGAAAAAGGATGAATCGCATATTTATGTAGGGTGGGATGAGGAGAAAGGGGGATGCCCCATCTCAGTCCTATTGGCAACGAGAATGGGTGAACGTATTCAGGCTAGGGGCCTAGGCTCTGGGTTCAAGGATGCCCACTCACCCCTGTCTGATCTTTTACCAGAGTGTGAGAGGGTGTTGTATAGGGCTAGTATCATAGGGGCCCCAGCCCTAGGCCTAGCAGATAAAGCAGAAGTTTCTTTTAAAAACTGGGAGAAGGAGAAAATGAGAGAACAGAGAAGGTGGCTAGTGGCTAGGCTTTGCTGACCTTAGAAAAGCTGGTGATGAGTACCCAGGCTCAGGCTTGGTCTAAGTAGGGGATGTTCTGGAGAGCCGTTGGCTCAGGGCAGTCCCTAATCTTCCCCTGCTCACCCCACATCTTTAGCTGGTGAGCATGGGTGCTCCACCCCACCCCACAACACACACATACATACAGCCCCATGGGAGCATGCCTGGTCTCTCCCACTCGTTCCTCCCTTCCCTTCTCCACCCTGGGATGCTGTTTTGGGAACAGGCAACCTAGCTGGATCCTGACTTTATTTCTGGCTTGGAGTTGTTGCCACAGTAACTGCGGGGGTGGGGCCGGGAGGGGGAGAGGGTGAAAGGGAAGCAGAGATGGAGGGAGGAAAGATGATGAAGGAAAAGAAAAGGGAGATGGAAGCAGAAAGAAAGGGAAGTTCACTGTGAATGATACTGGAGACAGAGGAGAGAGCAGCATTCCCTGCCCACCCTGACCCCAGCCTACTTGGATGCCCAGCCTCATTTCATAACTTACTGTCTGCACTAGTTGGCATCCAGACTGCTTGACCCTGCCCATAGGGCACAGAGCCTGAGTCCCCCAGAATCCCAAATCCTTTCCTGTGAGGTCAGCAAGCTAGATTCTGGGTAGCACCACCATATAAGGTTAGCACATGGGACTCAGAGTACAGAGCTCCAGTGGGATGGGGTCTCTA